CTGTGAGCAACTCCCGACTCCGTAATTACGTTTAAACTCCCTTGTCCCTTGCTAGCAGTGAAACTCAAATATAATATCAGATGAGAACGTCCCTTCCCTGTTTAATGGGGCGACTGAGGGGAGTTCATGGAGAAAAGACAAGAGGAAATAGGAAGAATAGACAATACTTTTCAAAGTCCAAGGGCTTGATTTTATTTTGGGGAAACAGGGACTGGCAGAATTGCAAACCCGCTTTTGAGAGTGTTACGACCAGTGACAACCTTGACTTCTCCCTAGACTTCCTCCTCCCCTCCCTCCCTACTCCAATCACTGTATCCCCTATCTCCATCCTTTGCCTCCTTGATTCTCGGTCTCAACTTATACACACTGAAAGTCTTGAAAGACATTAACATTGAAAGGCAAATTTTGCTTATCTGTAGCACCCTACTACCTCCTCCCCCTCCTCTCACCCTCACAATTCCCCATTCTAAACGAGCTAGCTTTAAATAACTGCATGCATTTCAAGCAATTCTTCCATATACACTGCACCATAACTGAGGCAGAAAAGACACCTCAGAATTCAAGGAAAAAGCTATTTCTTCTTTTATTTCCATTAGTTTCTCTAGCCTGGGGCTTTTCCAATAAAGAGAAGTTGGTGACTGAGTACTTGACCCTCCCTCACCCTGTCATCACGCTGCATCGTTGAGCAGTGCCCTGTGAGGAAAGGTACAATGGAACTGCTCGCTAAGAAAACAACAAATACTAGGTTTTAAGCAGTTCTCCAGAATGACTTCAGATGTAGAGACGAAGGTTTGAAGCAGCTATGAAACCCAATTATGGTAAATGTATGAATATTAAGTGGTTAATTTTTCACTCGAACGAGCTCTTTATTGGATGCACTTCTGTAGAAATTATTTTCTTATCATACTTTAGAAATTTGTCCTTTGTAGCGAAGTTTAGAACAGAAATAACTTTGTTTCTCGAAGTAAATACCATCATTTTTCGTTCCATTCTAAATTCATGAAATCATACCTTAGAAGAAGTTCTCCATTGTACCCATAGGCATCGTTTACTCCTGAGGCACTATAAACCGAATATGATTAGAAGACTTCCTTAAGATATAAATCGTAGATGCAGATTTTTAGAAGAAATGCTTTGCTCAAGCGCGCTTGTTCCATATTCTTTCTGAAGTTTTTCAACTTGCAAGGATTTTTCTTGGTTTCCAATAATAAAACTCTAATATGGTTCAGCTAAAACATCAGAATGTCTCTAGAATTCAAACACAAGTTTGATCTATAAACAAGATCAAACAATAGGTAATCATCCCTGGACTATAATTACCATCCTCTGCTAACGTACATTGTTGAACAGCAAAAACGTCCTGTGCGTGCGGCCATATATGTACGCAAATTCTTTGAATCATTTACATATGTTCCAAAAAACAACACATTTCTATAAATGCCAGTGTTTTACAGCTAAGAACAGAAAACATTTTACTCTGCATAACAAGTAACAATTTAAAGTCGACGTCCTCTGCGACCTCCCTTTCTCCTGGTACAATCAGATGGGATGGGTGTCACGTCCTCAATACGACCAATCTTCATACCACTTCGTGCAAGTGCCCTGAGAGCAGCTTGAGCACCAGGTCCCGGAGTCTTGGTCTTAGTTCCACCGGTAGCACGAAGCTTGATGTGAAGAGCATTGATTCCAAGCTAAATGCGCAGCAAAAAAATTGAAACATTTGCAAACATTACGGCCAAAACAAATACCTGTTTGCATCTTTCGGCAACGTCCTGGGCAGCAAGCATAGCGGCATATGGAGAGGACTCATCACGATCAGCCTTCACCTTCATACCACCAGTCACACGCACAATAGTTTCGCGGCCTAAAAGAGCAGATGACAAGGCAATGGACGCTAATGTCATGAAGAACAAAAAATTTGGAACAACCACTCTTAGTAGGTATTCTATTCTGGTAACACAAGGAAAAGAATAAGGAGCTCAGCGAGATAATTCGAAGAAATGGCAGAAAAGTGTTTTACACTTTGTGCCAAAGTAGTTTCATCTAACAGAATCCAAAAGTGGATGCAAATTAACCGTAACTATTAGGCTTATGTACATTTTCTTACTTTTACATGGAATACAAATTACTACAGAAAGTTACAGAGATAGAGAACAAGAAATTAGTCAAAC